TGCCAGACCCTGTCCATCTCCAACCCTCTCAGCCTCGCCGCCATTTGCCCGTCTGCCTTCTAACACGCCAGGGGAAAGGGAAAAAAATGGATTTCGCCCCCATGGCCCTGGACCCCATCCTGACGGGCCTTTATTTACCTCGTCGTGCCCAGCGAACACGTTCCAAGACAGTCTCAATCCAAATCAACTTTCATCCTCCTTTCTCTCCTCTTTCTCCCAAACCCTCATTCTCCCTAAGTCCTCATCCATACAACCCTAGATACCCTCCTCCCTAATTCAACCATATAATCACACATCATGCGTCTCCAATTGACTACCTCTCTGGCTATCCTGGCCACTGCCTCCACCGTCGTCGCTGACGATGTCGTCTCGGTCCTCTGGCCCTCCTCCGCCAGCGGCGCGAACTACAACGCCAAGCTGATTGGAACTGTACGTCTTCTCCAAACACCCCCCTCCCACCATCGTATGCTTCTCCAGATCTAACTCGCATCCTAGACCGGCGGCGACCTCACCACCCTGGTCATCAACTGCCCGGCGACAGCCAGCGCCTCCGTGACCAGCTCTCCCGCTGCCACCGCCGCAACCACCAGCGCCGCCGTCGTCAAGCGTGCTACCACCGCCTCTAGCTCTGACTCTGACGATGACGATGACGATGACTTCAACGACAGCTGCAACATCCCCGACAGCGGCGAGACCCTGACCGTCGGCAGCAGCACCTGGGCCTTCACTTCCTCCGGTAACCAATTGTAAGCTAACCCACATGCCTGGCACCCCCCAATTCCATATAATATCTGTCTGTGTACTTACCACACAAAACATCAGCTCCGAACAGGCTACCTGCTCCTTCACCGGCACCACTGTCGCTTCTTGCGCCTTCACCTACAACATTGACACCCAGACTTCCTCCTCCAGCGGTGTCACCACCACCCAGCTCAACAAGGTCCCCATCACCATCACTGCTACTGCCTCTGCCACTGGCACTGCTACCGGTGGTGCATCCACCGCCTCTGCTACCGGTAATGCCTCTGGCTCTTCTTCTGCCGCCTCTACCGGCGCTGCTACTACCACCAGTGACAGCGGTGCGTTCGCTACTGGCGCTAGCCAGTGGGTTGCCGGTGGTGCTGCCATGATGGTTGCTCTGGCTATGGCTTAAACAATACCCATAAATATGTGGCTTGAGCCGTGGAAGTAGAGACGTGAGTGTTCCGTAAGTGGAAAACGAAGCAGGTACTATAGTATATCGGAAAAGGATATACAACATACACTACACAATGTCAGCATATAATTAGAACTGCGCGCAAGCTGGATGGGAAAATGAGTCGTGGTGAATTGATGATCATGTACCACAAGTGAAGAATGGTTTCTTTTTTTTTTATTCTATATGTCTATCTATTTACTACTACTACTATTACTACTACCCTTATTGATGTGTTTATTATGATTCTAATCACTCAATATTATTATCATGTCAATTGATACCATCCAAGTTGAGATATTTTTACACTCTGTAGCAGTTGTATACTTTGATAATATTAGGGAAGAAGTTCCACATACTATATGTATGTCCCAAGACTTCCATCTTCTACTCTAGTTCACACAAACCACATCCACTATAGACATTAGACAAACACCTTACCTACCACTCACTAGTACTTACCACACGTGCATAAAAAGCGAAGAGCAAATACACAACTTACATTGTCTTGGTTCTAGGAAATGACAGGATGAGGCTCGTATTGTGTTACCAACAGTACTAAGTACTCAATGACCTGATCTATTTGAGAACGAATAGGAGCCACTCCAATCCTTCACACTAGTTAATAATAAATAAGTATCAAAATAGGGAAATATATTTTTACAATTTTTTAATCCTCCTAAAATCCTTCAGTACTTATGAAGTACAAGAAGAAATAAAGTACTGTTCTTGGAGAAAAATAGAGTTTCTGTAATAGATACATCTCACGTGCTACGTCTCCCCACATATCAACATGGCTAAGAAAGTGAATCGATTTAACCTACTTCTTCGTATTATGTGAACCATACAAGATGGTTGTACAAGAGAAGGTATCTCAAATAGCTAATGGTAATTTGATAATCTTTGTCGTATCTCATTCATCAGCTGACTGGCTGGCTGGCTAACTGGCTAGTAGCATTACATGACCCCCGGACCGCGCGGAAGGAAATTGCCAAAGGTATCACCACCCTTTCCCCGGTCATCTCTCGGTCGTCGCTCGTCTGAACGGACCTCCAGTCCAGCTTGGATAATGTTAGTCCGGAGGACGCGAATGTGTGCTTCGCGGATGTAATTATCCAAGCTGTCCAGGATGGACTGCTGGACATCAGTGCGCAGGTTGACCTGGTTGGAGACCAGCACCTTCTTTTCCAAGTCAATGCGCGCGTCGAGGGTGCCATCCTGAATCAATTCGATGAGCTCCTGCACGAAGGGAGAGTTGGAGTCTGTGGGGTCGGCTTGGCCGCCTATGACTCCCGGGGCGAACATTTTCGTCATGGATTCGAGGGTCACGCGGCTGAAGGGTACAAGATACTGTTGGATGGACTTGGTGCGGATGCGCGTGAACAGTGTCTTGACATGGCGCTGTAGGTGCACGTCGAGGAGGTAGTCGGCCTTGTAGGCTTCTAGGATCTCAAGACAGGCTCGGAATTTAGAGTTGCAGAAGAATGAGATCGCCCGGCGGATGTGCGGCTCCAGCTCAAGGAAATTGCGGAATGAATTGTTGTCGAGGACGCGACGTTGTAGCTCATTGCGGTCCATTGATGCCAGCGCGCAGAGCCCACCGTAGACTGCAACGTCGTTGGATGTGAGTACTTCGTTGTAAGAGTCTCCTAAGCTCGGATCGGTGGCCAAGAAGCTGTTGGCAGCATCCACATATGCACCAGAGTGTAGCTGGGAAAGGCCCAGCGCAGCAGACATCTTGGGCTCGTTTTTGGCTTGCTCCTCTTGTTTCGATTGCAGATTGCGTAGCCGGTGCACATTCGTCTGCACGTTGAGCCAGTCACCGCGCTCAATTGCGACATTGATAATCTTGAATAGCATTGACGCAATGTGCGTTGGTGTGGTGCAATAGTCCCTCATACGAGAGTAGGCTTTGGAAGCTGACACAAGGTCACCTATCTGATTGTAATGTTGCCCGAGGTCTTCGTTGCCCATCTATAAGCGGTTAGGAAACGGTTGACAGCCGGTAGTCTTGCCAAATGCACTCTAACGTACCCTTATACTCTCTTTGATCAGGTTGTTCTTATAGCCTCTGAGCTCGTGTTCTAGTCGATCTGTTTCCGCCTTGACAGACTTCTTCATATGATCCACCCAGTTTGTATCAAGCGTTGCCTCAGGGTCACCGGGTGCAACTTCGGCAAGTGCCCGAACTACATTTTCGTATCTGAAAACATCCCTGCCGCCCTTGGCTTCTGCAACTGCGGCCTTCAATGCCTCGACAGAGAGATAAGTGGAGCATGTGCCTATGAGGAACAGTCGATTGAATCTGGTTCGGCCTAGGAGAAAGAAGCGGGGTTAGCCACAGCAAGGAGCGCGTGTGATCTAAGGCGTAACGTACCGGTGTAGTTCGCAATATATGACTCGAGTTCAAACTTAGGCGGATCTAAAAGATGAGTTATTCATCGCTGTTCCTTTGGATCAATCCAACAGAGCCAACATACCATCAACTTTCACCAGAGGACCTGCTACATTTCCACCCAAAGACTCTAAGTCCACGCCCCCGGCACCAGTGACTGACCCAGCACTTTGAGCTGGAACAGCCCCATAGAAAGGGTCTGACTGCGTGTAATCCATGTCGTCAATTCCGTGCGGCTTTCGGCTACTGACACGCGAGGTAATATAGAACGATGTGTGGGGCCAAGAGCAAATCGAATGAAGAGATTTGTTCGGTCCGTAGCCTCCGGAAGTGTAGTCGAGTATCCACGAAACTCCTGACGTTGAAATGCAGTAAATCAGGTGTGATAACGCCGCACAGGTAGAGGCGAAGTGGAGAACAAGCGGGTCTTTGAGGTGTAGGCGTCCGCGGGTGTCAGGAAACGGCTTCGTTCAAGTTCATAGATGGTGATCTGGCAAGATCAGCCACTCAGCAGTATGGAGGGCAATCTGCAAATCAAAACAGCAGTATGCAAGCCGGCAGGGTGGGATGTGCGGGTGAGATGATCTATCGCAAAGGTCACCGACGGCCGCATCATTTGGCCCGATCTATCGACGTAGCTGCCTAGGCTGTGTTCACCGCCTTTATGACCGCCTCGTAGCTACCCTTAGACTTCATTCCTCAGGCCACCATCAGGCCAGTGGCTCCTGCATACTAACTGGTCTCCAGTTACTACACGAATTCCTAGTTGTACCTAGATAGTCACGCCCAATATGGTAAGATTTTTCAGGCTGTATGTCTAGATACAAAGTCTCTCCCGAATATCCCTTGCAGCGGTTCGCAGCTATTCTGCGTTACCATTAGGTTCGCAACAGTCCATGTCCCCACTAAAAGCCCTAGAAACACTGCGAAGAGGTAGCTGTGCTGCAAAACAACTGTCATGTATAGTGACGAAGATGGAGCTGCCTCCAAGGAAAGCGAGGCAGCCTATAACGCCCGCATTCGGCTACTGGTAACGTTGACCTCGTTCCTCTCATGGCTGGGACTTGCAGCAGCTGTCACAGACGTTGCGAATTATCGAGTGAGATTCCTCCAGTCCTTCCTGGACACAACAGGGCTTGCTACACAATAGTAAACAACTCTGCGCAGTGATTTTCGATTATTTCGTTAGTCTGACTTGAGTTTATCACCACGAAATGATCAGCTGTGTCGAGCGTATCGAGAACGATCAGATCATCCGCAGATTGCGACCGACTAGAGAGAATTGCAATCAGGATAATTCTCTACCATACTCCACATGGGGCCTACCTGGCATCTAATGCGTTTGTACTAATTTCAAGCTCTCTTCTGGCGTGTTATTACGGAGATCGGCACCAAAGAATGGGATTATACTTACTCAACACCCATGGTCACGTCAGTGTCACTAATACAACAGTCAGATAATCATTCTTCAAGTAGCGTGGCTTCGAAACAACATACCTAGTTGCAGTTGGGACTGATGATACACTCTCTGCCTCAGGGGCAGGTAGGCTCGGTAGGTGGTGAGCAGGCAACGTCAGTTCTTCCCCTGGAATGGCTTGGGCATTCGCGGGGCCAGAGGTCAGACTTAATCAGCTTAGTTAGTGAGAACATAGAATAAGGGATCATGGACCACCTACGCAGCCGGGGGAATAGCAGGCAGTCTAAGCATGGTTGATGAAGTACTCATCTCATCAGTCACACTATTTCAGGAAAGAATCATGTATCTTACCTGCGCATTGATGCGGCAGCATGGATAGGACCGCGTCGGCTCTATATCAGATGGCTTTAGCATAACCTCATGGCTAGCCCCTGTCAAATAGCTGCAGTACATACAATATTTAGAGCATGATTTCCACGCCTTGCCTGAACAGATGTACTCAGCACTGTGCAATATTGACAATTCGGCTCACGGAGTACTTACAACATCCGTGATTCTTGCTCGAACACGCTCGCGCCGTCTGATTGCTCGCCGTCTGTTTCTGTTACGACGGGTCACGATTCTATCGAGAGCTCTTTGAGTTTCCGTGAGGTTAACTCTGGTTCCAGGCCGGTGCGATACCATGAGAGACTGCACGAGAATTAGTAGCCGCGCTGTAACAGCCAGTTCAACGTACAAGTTCATAGAGGCCCCGGCAAAGGGTGAGGAAGTTACATTGCGTATCTTCGTGCCCAGGTCTAGAGCAGAAACGACAGAAACGGGATCCCTGAAGTAGCTGTTAGGGTAGGATTATAGCTGACGATGAGGACTGCTCTTACGCGGTCACCAGGCATCTTGTTTATGCAGAAAGCGAAACTCACGACGCCTAACCTCAAAGACGACGATAAGGTGGTCAGACACAAGACAAGGCAAAGAGCACTTTGGCGGCTATTGCTCGTTCTTTCAGACTCAAGATTAAATGGAAGGTTGTTATGGGATGAAAGATAGCTTTAAGAAACGAGAGGTGATCAAGAGACCCGAGTAGTAGCCGGAGATGCAATAAATGGATCGTGTCCTTTCGATGTGTGGGAGAAGTAGAAGACTGTCCCCGAGGGGGAAATAGAACCAGCGCAAGGAAAGGTGTTGCAAAGGAAGAAGTGAATGGGTTCCGTGTCGCCCAAACTGGCAGGAACACTGGGTGACCTGCCCCGGCCAACCAGAGACCCGCCAATGTTGTGAGTTGCCAAAGAAGTTGCTGAACACATTGGAAGAGTGAATGCAAGGTAGGAAAGAAGTGGGGACAACTGCTGCCAATACTTGGAGAAGAGAGGTTGTTGTTGCTCTGAGTGCGGATATTGTTGACCTCTCGGAGAAAGAAGGATGCACATAAGTCATGCTTTGTGGAAAGAAAGTCAAGTAAAAGTTGAGATAATCTCGTCCCAGTCGTCGACAGTGACCCTCTTCTTGGTAGAATGTCCCAGGAAGAACAGTATTAGTACATTAAGAGCAAAAGGTGGAGAACTTCTTCTTTCAAGGAGGGTTAAGAATATGTAAATGACCATCATGCGGTACATCTTCACTCAAACTCGACTCACTTTGCCTTCACCATACTGCTGCGTTCTGATTCAAAAGCAACAAATGCCCAGGGATACCTTTCGGGGATAATCAGTCGCTCGTCTCGCAACATAGCTATCAGTAGATGCCATTCCCTGCAGCCTTTTGCTCCCAGCTGTGTCAATTGGTTGTATCTCATTTGGACATCACAAACTGCGCATTACTGCCTCAAATGTAGCACGCCTGGATCAAAGTCTCTATTAGATCTGGAAAGAGTGGATGGTCTCATGAATTCCCATTACATAACTTGTGTCGACTTTGAAAGAAGACGCCCCATCAATTAGCTGCGAGCGCTCTCAGTGAAGAAAGAAGATTATTTCAGAGATTAACAAAACATGCGCGAAAAGTGACTATTACATAAATGTGGCATGCCCCATTACAAATGTTCCAACCTTGGACTTGGTAGAGATGGCATTAACTTCATACTGACTTGTAGCCTGGTCTCAAAGCAATGTCGTAAACCCAGCCAGGAAAGCTCCCACCACTACAACCAGGCCGTATACCTGACCAAGGTCAGTTGACGGCCTGGCTGCTGCTCCCTTATCAGGGACTCCAGTAAATGGCGGAAGGGAAGTTGTGGCTGCGGCGGTAGTGGAAGCAGCGGTGGACGTCACGTTCACACGCTTGGGGTCCTGTGCACCACAGGGGTGCTCAGACCGGCAATTTGACTGGCAGCTCGAGTCGCCATTGCATTGAGTGACACATTCGTCATTCTCTTCAGTGCAAATAAAGTACGGGATGGTCTCTGAGTACTGAGATGAGTTGGGACTCAGGCCATTGCTACAGATGCACTGGTATTGAAGAGTTTTCTGCATTCAAACCCCATTGCATTAGTCAAGATGAAGTAGATTGGATAGATAGGTTTTTTATCATTCGCACTTACAGCGTCGCATGTGTTCTTTTTGGGTGAGCCCGATGTGTTCGGCAACTGATAACAAAGTAATGGACATTGCGAGGTCTGAGACTGACACCATTGGTCTATCGTTACACAGTCAGATGAGACATTTGGCACCATAGTTTTGCATGCAGAGAGAACATACTTCTTGTTTCGATCGGGACGCTATTGGGGTCAAAGGAGGAGGAGGAGGAGGTGGTGGTGGTGGTGGTAGTGTTTTGCGAGAGGACCAGGCCAGCCACGGAGGCTATAGCAATGAGAGGACGGAGGAGAAGCATATCGAGTGGCGTAAAAGCGGTGGGTACGACAGCGGAACTTGAGGGATACTGAAAGAAAGGACCTTGAACTGTGACGATGATGCAAGATGTCAGTGTTGATCTCTGTAACTAATGAATGGGAATCTGGGGGATATGATAGCCTCGCACATACGTGTTCAATCTAAGGCAGCTTGAAGTGTAGTAGAGTTTTGGACAGGTAGTATGCCAAATTGATGGAGTGGGCTGCTAGTGATATCAACAACGGGGAACTCAAATAGGAAATAGCAAGAGCTCGGGACTGCCAGAGGGAGAACCGAGAGAAAAGAAATCAGAAAGCCAAGAGGGCAAGCGATAAATAGTGAAAAAGCTGGTGCTCAAAGCTCGGTATAAGTATTCACGCACACCGTACTACTTTTCACCCGTTACGCGAGGTCAGCTTGGGGTGGCGGCGCTATCAGTTCCCTAAGCTCCAGGCGGCTTCTTCTGGATCCAGCCATCAAATTCCAGGCCGGGTTGGCAAGAGCTAAGTGAGTGGCTAGTCTCCATCTTTCTTATTTTCTTTTCATGACTGGAGTCTGGTCCCATTGACCGTATGACTCTTACCCACCTGGGGGGGAATGACAACGACGGGGCCAAAACAGGTTGAAGACAGAGGCGAGGGAGCAAGACAAGAAACGCCGGAAGAGAGTCCGGAACGAGTTGGTACCACTAGCCGATTGGAAAGTCATCTAGCAAAAGCTCCATTCAGTACGATAGCAGATAGGACTAAGTTTCTGTCTGAACCCTCGTTGGCGAGTTGCAATATCGATTTAGCCTGTCAGGTAACATGGCCCCTCTTTCCTCCCTGCTTGCTTTGCTGCTATGTTTAGTTATCGTTCAGCCATTGACTGCAGGTTTGGGAGAATTTGCCAGCGCGCCTGACTTCTGCATGGAACAGAAAGCAGCAGACCAGCCTCTGATGGTGTGAGGATGTCTCAGAAAGAGACCCAGTTGATAGGGTGAATCTTTCCAGATGGCTGACAGCCGACGGGGACGGGGAAAGCAACCGCACCTCGGCTGGAGCAGGATTGGGGGAAGGGAACCCGCATTGTCTCAGTTGAAGGACCCCGACTGGGCGATCCTCCATTACTGGAGAATGCCTGATTGGGCAAGGCTACTCTTGGCTTCTTCTAGCGTGGACCCTGGTCACTAGCCCTAGTTGGGACTAGGAGGGATGAACTAGTCTGCGCCAAATTGGCTAGCGGGAAATAATGCGGCCGGAATTGGATTATCCAGATTAACTAGTCTGATCCTGAGAGATTTTGAGTCTTGCTTCTGCTGCACAAAGAAAGCTTCCTGCGTGACCTTTTTTTGGGTCTCATTTTTGATGCAGAATGGAGATCTCTTTCAAACAAAAGTATAACCTTCGAACTAGTCTAGATGTCTTGTGGTAATTTATCATACTTTCACCCATACCGAACAGACCTACAGTAACTACAGTATGTCCTTGCGGGTGCTAGATAAGCAGCACATGACTCGCTCCTTCTGGAAAGGCGTTGGGCGACGTGGTCCCGTGATCCCCGTTAGCTCCTTTCGGAACACGGAGCGTGGCCGGTGCAATGGCTTGATATCGATCGTCAATCCATGGGCTTCAAGCAGCAATCCCTCCCCCATCTGAGACATTCTATCTTATCAATATCCCTTCCCCCTCCTTTCAGAGTCTCCGCTTCTCTCACTCTCGGGTATCATACCGAGCCATACCTGACCTAAACCCGGGCTGACACCCTGTGGCTTTGAAACGCAGTACACAGACCTCCTGTTGTACCAGCAAGCTTCACTAGTAATTCCCGTAAGTGACCAAACATTTAGCCATCCCCCGCCACTCATCTCCTCTTTCGTGGTTGCACGCCGTTTACCAACCTATTATTAGTGACAGCCAGGCTCGCATTTGTCCCGTCCACCGAATATCTAGATGGATGGAGCCAGCGAATGAGGACATCGCCTCCGTGCCTCCGCACCAACCTCGCCCTTCCTCACCTACCCAATCCTCGTCCTCTCCTTCGGACATCATAAACAATGATACTATAGCTGCGTCCCTCTCCGACGGGGTCGCTGTGAGCAACGGATCGATCCTTCCTCGGGCACAGGACCTCTCGAATAAGGACCGTCCGGTGTCCGGCATAGTTCCGCCGTATTGGAGTCACCATAGAAACGCATCCAGGGCTTCACACATCTCTCTCGACCAGGCGCCAGGCATTACACTAGAGGACCATACAGAGGATCCAGATTGCGAGACTAGTCGTGGTTTGTGGGCGAAAAGTGTGGTTGTCGATGATCATGTCGTCGTTCAAGGCAAGACGGGCATCGGATCCTATGTCGTGTGGAATTGCAGGATACAGACACTGGATGTACGTCAGCGTTCTCTCTCCGGGCTCTCGTCATTGCTATGCGATGCTATCTCATCATGCTCTTAGGAGATCTATGCGCTAATGACTTGCAGGGTGGAC